CCAAAACCCAATTCCGTTTCCAGAAAGGTGCGCAGCGCCATCTCCGTGTCCTCTTTGTTCGTTTCTTGTTCTGGAATGTTTTCAAACTTAATGTTTTCGCGCCTAGAATATGCTTCCAGATATAAGTTCTTATCCTCGATCAGTTTAAAATTGGCACGGAGTTCATCATTCTCTTTCTGTAGGGCCGCTAGGCTCGATTTTGTGCTGTCTTCGAGCTTTTGTATTCTCTCGGATGTCGTCTTTTTATCTGTTTCGTTTGCGTTTAAACTTTCCTTAAGATCTTCAACATCACGCTTGGTGGTAGCGTACGCATCTTCGAGAGTATGTATTCTTCCTTCTAACTTCCCGAAAGACTTCCCGAGGTTATTCACTGCTTCTTCGATGGCATCCAGCTTTTCAAGCTCCTTAAGAATATCTTGCAGTGGTTTTTGAAGGCCTTCAGCCATGTTCAGAGCAGATAGAATAATATCGTCACCTTCTTCTTCGCGTTCGCCTTCGGAAGAATTAGAACTATCACACTCTTTAAGTTTCTTTGGTTCTGGCGAGGTATCTAGAGAACTATCGGAGGATAGCTGTCTTGTTCTTCTTTTACTTAGCAATAGCTTAAAAAATTCTTCCATTAAATCATCCACGGCAAAAGAGTAGTGTTATTAGGCGGACGGTCTTTCGGCACGTCTTCACACCGCCATTGCTTCCCAGTCCCACTGCTGTTACATTTAGGACCGTTTATTACGTTTAGGCCCTCTACGCACCTGAATTGTATGAACTACCATGATTTTTGAAAACAGAGTTAGCAAAAGAAATCAACTCATTCTACTACTTGACAATTACAACCAATAAAAAATCATTCAAAGGCCTATTAAAAGCCTTAATCTGACGTCGGGCAGTAAGTTAATGGTCCCTAGAAGCATTTCAACGGGTCCAAATTTAAAATGATACAAATTTTAAGACATTCATTCAGTAATCTGATTCCGTGAAGTTTCAAACCGGTGTCATTTCAGTCTAGAAATTTCAGAAATTTTGAAGTTAAGTGAACTGCAGCCAAAGAGTGCCTGGTTAAGGCTATACTTAAGGTGGCTCCGTAATTAATACAGGCGCTTTTAGCTGTGACGAAGTTTCCGTTATAACTTTTTCGTTTTTAACGCGATGGCTGCAAAACTTTGCAAAGAACAACAGATATCATTCGGCAATAGTACAAAGTATTCCGATTTCATTGACGGTAAATATATTTTGCTAAATTAGGGCTTAAAAGGACCCTTTTGTTCAAAGAAAATGGCATCTAGTAAAAAAAATTGCTGATATTTTTTACAGAAATTTTTGGTATCGGCTTTAACTGACATAATAAATATACCAGAGGAATTTCAGAAAAATCGTTGGCGCAGAAGTCCGTAACTAAAAGTCGCTTAAAATTCAGCTTATTTAGCATATTTTCAGATCATTCAGCAAAGAAGATTGACATTTTAATATCCTGAGTGCAACTCATCAAGTCCGTTGACTTTCGTACGCGTTGAAATACGTTTGCATACCATCGTTATTTTACTGTAATATTTACTGATAATGTTTGTTCCATGTTCTACTTTTTTCAAGGACGGCCTTAAATAAAGTGAACATCAGAGGTTAACAAAGCGCATTAGAACGGAAATGCGTAAATAAAAAAATCTTTTTTTTCACTGATCAGTAAAAGATCTCGTTAACTTTAGTAAAACAGTAAGGATACGTGACCTACGTAGGCCTCGTAAATTTACGTGCTATTATCCCGTAAAAAAGGTTTTATGCAACACCCGCAGTTTCTGTTGCATAAATGACACTTGAGTGGATACTTACGAAAATCGTAAGTGCAACCACTTAAGTGAAATCCCTAAGTGGACCACGTAAGTGATTTAATGCAACTCACTTAAGGTGACTCGACCCAGTTTTTTTTAGGGGGTACCATCCTACTTTGAAGCTCTCTGGTATCCCCACCTTTACTTTTATCGTAAGTATAACACATAGAATGGATAACATATAGATCAATCTACAATATAACATAAAATTTTTGGCGATCGGAGTAAATGTCACGTGGTTATAATGCCACGCCCCTTTAAGGTCTGAGTCGAAAATCTGCTGCTGCAGGCATTTTTTCGTGAAAATCTCTCGGCTACACATAGTGCGCATTAGTGCCTTGCGCTGAACAGAGTTTCACCAAAATCGCAAAGACCCAATTCGAGAAATTCAGCGGTTTCCAAATTTAGGTCATAATTTATGCAAAAATGATAAGCAAACTTTACACGGATTATATCTAATAAACTATGAGATTCATCTCTGTATTTTGGGCATCCTTATAACAGATGGGTCCTTGCAAGTCAGCAAAACGCTTTAGG